AACACTGAAAATTTGCTTACATTCCTAGTTTTTTACCAAACCCCATCCCAACCATTAGAGGAAATCATCTTTCTCTCAACATGGGCAATAGTTTAATTCGACACAAAATCCATACTGTGTCCCGATCCAACATTCCGTTTTTATACAGAATATTAAATTAAAGCTAAAAAAACAAAACAAAACAAACAAAAAAAAAAAACCCAAGGTGCTCTCAAACAGCTGTTAAACTGCACACATTTCCCCACCAACCTTGTGTAATGATGTTCTCTCCACCAGCTGGAAAGGGGAAGGGTCTACTCGAATCTCATCGATTTCCATCGGCTTGTCCATCTCTGCCTCTTCCCACGCGTTGATCTGCAGCAGCAGCAAACAAAAGGCAAGGTCACAGAGGTGAATCGACTGGCATCCGCTCAGAGTTGCTTTCCTGATGTGAAAATTCCAGTTGAGCCAGGGGGGAAAGATTAGGGTTTTGTTTTCATGGTGAGTCACATACATATAACATATGATTAAATATACTTGGCAACAATAACAATGGCTATATACATCATTAACACTGTTGATGTGTGTTTGGGTAAAATTCAAGGTGTGTTTGTACAATGTGAGTGTAGCTGCAGGAGGGAGAGGGTAATTAGCTATCACCTAGCAGAGGTTTCAGCTGTGAAAAACCTTGAAACCCTGTGTAGCGTCCTTGCATGTCACAGGTCTCCCCTCTGAGATTTACGATGTCTGACACCTTTTAGCCTCTCTATGGATTTTACCTACGAGCCTCAGCCTGCTGTGACAGGGGCAGCGGTCTTGTAGAATTTACAGGGCGATGTTATGGGGCATTTTGGGAAAGTGCCAGGAAGAGTAAAGGCAGAGCGGCAGACAGAACAGGACTGGAGGGCACAATACTGTTTTGATGCACTTAGAGAGGAAAAAAAAAAACGTGTCTTGTTTAAAATTCTGGCTGTGTTCACACGACACTTAAAAAGTGCCCCAATTCTGAAACTTCGCCTCAAATGTGACACAGATCTTCAACACCTGTGACCCACATTTGACATGGATTTGAATACTAATGTTGAGAATTAGTTGTTAAATGATAAACAACACCTCAAGTGTGCTTAAAACAGCCGCAATTTTGGAAATGTCATCCTGCAAATGTGTTTTTAATGACAATCTGCTTGTACTGAGAGGTACAAGCAAGTCATATCTAGTCTTCATCTGCACTTCATTAACCTTGACTTTTTAAAACCTGATGCTTTTCCTTTTTTTTTTTTTTTTGCCGCCAGTCAGTTCTGTAAAATGTATGTCTTCCCATGTTTAGACATAGATACACTTAGTTTTTACATTCTCTGATTCATAAAGGTTTCTGCCACCACCCCTTACATCACTGTAAAATGCAGATCATTTCTTCCACATTGGTTACTTGGACTGGGGCAATGTTTGGACTAAGTATATATACTGACCAGCTACAACATTAAAAACCACTGACAGCTAAAGTAAAAAGCATTGATTATCTGCTTACATCGGCAGCTGTGCAGTTCTTGAAGTTGATGTGATCCAAAAGTGAGCAGCATAAGATTATAAGAGACTTTGACAAACTGCCTTGGCTAGACAACTGGGTCAGAGTATCTCCACAACAGCAGGTGTTCTGGCTCGTTTCTGGTATGAAGCAGTTAACAAAAGTGGTTCAAGGAAGGACAACCTGTGAACCAGACACAGGGGTCACGGACGCTCAAGGCTCACTGATGCTTGAGAGAAGTGAAGGCTGGCCAGTGGTTTTATTTTTTTTTTTGGCTGATTGGTGTTTACATGTGAGCATTAAATCACAGTGCTGTAAATAATTACGCAAACATTTCTGTAAAAACATGCAAATCCATCATTCCTCCATCAATACCGTACCTCGTCTGGTGTCATTGTGTCTGACAGCGGAGGAGGACAAGGTTCCTGAAGACAAAGAAGGGAGCAACAGACAAAGAGATGTTTGTGAGTGTTTTTATATAAAAACAGGCTACATGTCACTTCTAAATCTAGAAAACCTCATCTGAATATTACATTAAGGGACTAAAGGGGATATTAAGTCAAAGTGCAATCTGTTTCATAGTTTTAATATTAAGTAAATACAGTGAATGACAAATCTGCATTTTAAATTGCACACATATGAAATGATTCTAAATGGTATCACCTTACAGAAATGAGATTACTAAGTTGAACTGTAAACTATTCTCTGATGTAAAATTAGAACAGTAACAGTTTTAAATTTACTATGTTAGAAAAACGAAAGCTTTAAAAATTAATGCAACAAAAGTCACTATAGCTTTCATGACTGGGATTCTAATCTTAATTCTTTAATACTTTGTATGTCCGCCTTTATTTCTGATGAAAGACTCAATCCACCTCAGCAATGAGGATTCCAGAGATGACTGTTTTCAGCAGCTTCTTGCTGGAGGAGGTGTATTGCTGTACCTAAAATACCCAAAAGGTGTTCTATTGGATTCAAGTCAGGCAACATATTTGTCCAGGGCACAGTTTCAGCTTTGTTCTTCTTCACAAACTCTTGTGTGATTTTGTCAGCGTGCTTTGAATGATTACTAGGCTAGAATGTTTCTCTTCTGATAACATTTTGAAGTTATCTGTCAGCCATTATTTTGGTATATTTACAGCATTTTGTAGTGCATCTATAAATGTCACCTCCACGACACATTTTGCACTCATGCAGCCCCACATCATCACACTCCCACCTCTGTGCTTCACTGTCAGGACTATGCGTTCACACAGTGGTAGTTCTGGTAAGTTTCACACCAAACATGCGGGACCTCATCTGAGCTTAACAAATTTATCTTGTTCTCATCTGATCAAAGAATCTGTTCCCAGCGTTCATCAGGCATCTCTTCATGTTCTTCGGTAAAGTTTTCTGTCAAGGAGCAAGCAAGGGATATTTTCTAAGATGTTGTCCACAGAAGTTGATGTTATAAACTGTCCTTCACACAGTCTGAGCTGTCACAGAAATTCTGATTTCCATCGACAACCCAGGTGCCCAGTCTGAAGCACCTGTCCATCTGTTTATCAGAGTTAGATTGTGCAAGCAGTGCGCTGTCTATAGTGTCATTTTAGGATGATGCCACTGCAGCTCTGATTAGTTGTACTATGACTCGTTCTGTACTCTCTGATTATTGCTGCAACTGTGTTTCAACTCATTTTTCTTCCTGTAGGTCTCGAGATCAGATTTTTCAGTAATTCTTTTCCATGTAAAGCAGGGGTCTCAAACTCAACTTACTTGGGGGCTGCTGGAGATAGAGTCTGGGTGAGGCTGGGCCGCATCACGTATTCCACAAAAAAAGGTGTTTCAAGTATTCCAAAAAATTACAACTGATTGAATCTTCTCAATCTTTATTAATAGCAATTCAGAACATGAACATTCTTCAGAACATAGGCTTCTCCTACCTACTCCTTGCGACCAGAGACCTGGCAGCGCTTCCTCTTACACAGCTGAGCCACATTTGGCTTGAGAGAGGAAGCATTTGAGACCCTCGGTATGGCTCAAAGATGCTCATCATAAGTTTGGACCTGTACTTTGACTTATTAAAGTTCAATGTGGAGAAGAGCTTTTCACACAGACAGAAAAAAAAAAAAACAAAAAAAAAAAAAAAGCAACTGCAACGGGGGAAAAGAAAAAATTTCCCTCCACTCATTGACACTCCTGGATCACGTTTCAAGTGACTAATGTTGCTAATTCGCGTTGCTGTCATGAACCTGAGCTACGGTAGCCCACAACTGATTAAAAAAAATAGAAAACGCCCAGGGCAAGGACTCGCGCAGGTGCATGTGAGAAATACATGTGGGCCACACTAACACTAAACTCTGATGTCAAGTAGAGGGCCACAAAATATTATCGCGAGTTTGAGACCCCTGATGTAAAGCCATAATGCAGACATGCAGACAGAGACAGCCTATCTGTCTCTTAAGTTCTGCTGGTCAAACATAATGCAATTTTTGAGAGATGATACAATTTGGAATCATCTGACATTTAACTGAAATTGCATAGGGTATTGTTACCTCTGTTGTATACTGTAAGAAACAAGTACTTGCTTTACTCTTACAAATAATATATGAGATGTGTGAAATCTAAAGCTGCAGTAAGATTTCATTTTTTGGATTCAGACTGCTGTCATCCGGTTTCTTTCACTCCCACAGCACATCCAGCAGCTCTGTGAGTTAACTGGATGCAGCAGGTGAAATTCAGGCCAACACCTGCTGTGACCTGTTTTGTGAAACTGAATTTATTAGTGATGCTTCCCACATTTATTCACTCAATGTCTGGGCAGGTTGACTGTTTGTCCTTGAAGTAACGAACACAATGTCAACTTACTCAGAGAATACATGGGTTATGAAGCAGCATGCTAACTCTTTATATTAAACGGTTGACGTTTTTATTAGTTCCTGTGTTTATCACTGCAGCAACAACAATTATACTCATTCAAGAATTAACAAGATGTTGTCACTTTTGTACCAGCTAGACAATATTCTAAAGGTCAGTGTCTGGATACCTGCCATCAGTGGCTGCTAAAGGTTACAAACACCTGATTCACAGACAGAATTCAGCCATGGTCTGGCTTGATTGCTAGTGGCAATATCCCATTGTGCGTCTATTTGATATTCAGGGTTGTAGAAGTGTGGCTGAGATAAAAACAATCCCCATATAGGTACAGGATTGAATCCAAAAACATAATAGAGAATCAGACTGGTAATTCAAATGCCACAGCAGTGGGCACAACAGAAATCAAATTCTAATCTTGCAAGCTTACAAGCATATGCTTATTTCCAGTGTGGTTTTCATGACTGCAGATGACATGTATTGCTTCCCCTGTGAGCCAGGCTCACCGCCAAGCTGAATATAATAACTCTACCTCCAGTATCTGGCTTCCCCATTTCCATATGAGAGAAGGTTGAAAGAAAGCTGCTCGACTTCGGGGAGTTTGTCTGAGGACGAGGAAGCAGTTGCGTATTCATGCGCCTCTGTCAATCAGATAAGTATGTATCTACCTGAATAGAAATCAGAGCCCGTGATGAAAAATTCACCCAGCAAAAAAAAAAAAAAAAGAATGGACAAATATTTAAATTCTAGCAGTACCAGTGTGAGGATGTGGTTCTGGGATGGCTGCGCCAAAAAAGATGGGAGGCTATTTGCACTGCAGCAGTTCATGACACATGGAAAGATCTCCTGGCTACTGGGCACATTCCTGACATCTCTAAATAGTTAGTTGAATGGAGGAAAGAGCACAGAGGTTTACAAAGACATTAAACACACAGACATGTAGAAACATACAAAGGTTACCAATGTGACATACAGAGCAGAGACATACGGCACGTTTAATGTCGCTTCTACACGAGTATACACACGTGTAAGCTCAGGGATGGGAAAAAAAAAACATGCTATAAGAAGTGTATATTCAGACAAACCTGTGACTGCCCCTCTGTCTGTCTGCTCTTAGAGGTGAAGAGATTTCTGAGTGTTTTCCTCACGGACTGCAGAGGACCCTTTTCTGAGAGGAGAAGAGAAAAAAGGAGACACAGCATGTGTAGGTTGATAAATTATACAAATGTAGCTTTGGAGAAAAGAAACCTAGCTGAAAGGGAAGTTTATTTTTTTTGAAAGACTATAACAACCCAAGAAACCTTTATTGTTGTTGCCTGGATACCATTTCACTGGGAGACTGTCTGTTGTTGTGTGTGATGGGCTGCTGAGGAGTTTACTGTGCCACAATAGACACACACACCATCTGCTTACTTGTGGCGAACATGCTGCCAAACCTTCCCTCATTGCTGTTAGGGCTGCAAAGTTATTAATTCCAATCGTTTGACATCTGTTGAGGGCAGGGACAAACAAACAGGTTTGTGTCAGTTCGGTAAACTGTGTGAAAGGCTGACAAATTAATAAAATAGAGTTGTTTTTTTTTTAGTCAGGCAACTAAATGGCTAGACAGTATGTAGCTGCAGTGTGCGGCTGACTTTTGTAGGAACCTTCTTGTCTAATAGTATCAGGACATTCCTTTCACAGTGTTTCTCAGCAAAACCATTGTGTACTCAAATCTTAATATTTGCATAAAAACTTATCATTCATCCTGCATTGTTTCCATATCTACAGCTTTCTTCACTGTGACCAAAATAATAAAACAAGCAACAACAACTTCACTCAGTCACCTAAAGTAAATAAAATGAATGGGAAAACTCCCAAACAAACTATTGGGCCTCGAATAAGTAAAATGATGCATATAAAACACCTTGCTTGGAAACTATTTCGTGATGCAGATACAGCAGGTGGTGCTTGGGAGAGCCAGGAGAAACCCTACCATCATGAATTCTGTGTGAATGAGGCATTAAAGGAGAATTCTGGTTAATTTCATTATGTATTTCTCATTAATGTAGCTGTCGTGGGTTTAAGTGTTATGCTAACTTTGTGATTTTTACATCATTCATTTGTTTTCAGTCTATCTTAAGAAACACCGAAATTAGCCAACTGCAGAAGCCATTCTGCTAACTGCACTAGGAATCTCCACCTGGGGAAACTTGCTGGCTGACCTGATCACAGACATATTGATCTGATGGTTAACGTGTTTCTGCACTCACTTGGCATGGAAGACAGCAAAAATGATTCCACTTTCAAAGAATCCAGCTGAACCATTTTCTGGTGCAAACAGTAGACCTATTTGTTTGTTACCAGTGTTAGGAAAGATTATGGAGAGAATTATTTTTGATCAAATGCAAACGTATTTTGATGAAAACCATCTAAATTCAGATTATCAACATGCTTACAGGCCAGGTCATTCCACTTGTACGGCACTGACACAAATGGTTGATGAATGGCAAAGTAAGCAAGATAAGAAGAATGTAGTGGGTGTAGTGTTACTTGATTTCAGTTCAGCGTTTGATGTGATAGATCACTTTTTGTTGTTAGATAAGTTACAAAATTATGGCTTTACTTTAACTGCATTAAGATGGATGGAGAGTTATCTGACAAATAGGAGGCAGACAGTATTTTTTAATGGCAGTTTGTCAAGTGTCAGGGAGGTTACTTGTGGAGTGCCTCGACATAGCTGTTTAGGACCATTATTGTTTTCTGTTTTTGTAAATGATCTGTCATTAGCTTTGAAAAAGGCTAAGATTGCAATGTATGCTGATGACTCAACAATATATGTGGCTGCATCATCTGTAAGAGAGCTGAATACTATCTTAGATAAGGAATTGACGTCAGTGGTAGAATGGGTGACAAGTAATAAACTAGTGCTCAATGTTGGTAAAACAAAGTCAATTATAATTGGGTCTAGGTATCAGTTAAAAGCTGAACCTGTGCTCAGATTAAATATAAACAGCATACCATTTGAACAAGTACAAGAGGTAAAACTTCTGGGTATTATCTTGGATCACAAATTAACATGGTCAAAACAAATTGATTACACTGAGTAAGATCGGTAGGGGTGGGTCAGTTGTACGGAGACTTTTAAAAGTCATGCCATCAGATGTCACTAAACAAGTTTTGAATGCTATAGTTCTGTCACAGCTTGATTACTGTTTTTTGATTTGGTCTGGTGCCACAATGAAAGAGTTCAAAAAAATGTACAAGTAGCTCAAAATAAAGCAGTGCATTGTGCTTTACAGTGTTCTTACAGAACTAGTGTATGAGATATGCATGACAGTCTGGGTTGGCTAACTATCAGGCAGAGATCCATCAATGTTTTGTTAAATTTTGTCAGGAACATTCTGTTGATGTGATCTCCAAAGACACTATATGAAAGGCTATTTTCTCAATTTGCTCAACATCGTTATCAAACACGATTCATAGCACAACAACGGTTTGTTCTACCTAAAGCACTAACAAGTACAATGCATAAAACAGTAATGTACGGAGCGATGGTTAGGTGGAATTCATTACCACTGTATTTAGTTCAAGAGGATAATAAATAGTGTTTCAAAATTTTGTTGAAACAATATCTACAAGTTTTTGAGGAGGTATAGATAAGGAAGATGGTGTTTCAAAATAAAATGTAATGCTGGTGAGAGCAAAGGATGTAAAATGGACTTTTGTCCTATTTTCTTGGATTTCAATGGGTCGAAGAACAGGATGGATAAATATGTTATTTAAGGTCATTCTGATTATATGTTTATAATGAAGAATTATGAGTTCAAGATTAATAATGATGGATTTATAATTCTGTGTATGAAATAATTTATATTGTACTGAATAACAATATGTTTCTCTACCTTATTTTACTTAACTGTAAAGTTAACGAGATGAGCTGTTATGTTTGTTGTGTTTGTGGTTGCTGGGTGTATACGTGTGATTGTGTGTATGTGTGTGGACCCCAGGAAGAACAGCCAATGCTTATGCTGGTGCTAATGGGGATCCTAATAAACAAAACGAAACTGCACTGCTGCAAATCGTTGGAGCTGTTGATGGCAGACTGGGAAAACCTCCACGTGTCCATGGATGAGAGGAATCCCAGCTTTAGAACTACAACTAACCAATCTGATAAACATCCTGATGATGGTGTTTTGCCTCCCCAACATCAACATTAAGAGAAGATCAACAAGCTCAGCTCTACGTATGTCAGTAAAAGTTAATGCAGTTAGAAGAATGTCTGTTTCATGCGGCTACTTTCTGTGTTTATTTCAGTCAGACTGAAAACACACATTTCATATGCCTCCGAAAAACACAGTTTCTCCAAACCTCTTCTTTTTCAAATGTCAGAATTTTAAGCTCATTTTAAGTTTGCAATAATATAAGTAGTTCAAGGACCATCGAAACAATGAAAATCTTGTGTTTTTCCCAGTTTCGGGCAAATAAATGGCATCATTTTGGGATTTTTACAAACACAACATGGTTTTCCAACCCGCCAGCAGGTTTTGGGGTTTAGAGTGGTCAACTGGTATACTTATCCAGAATGTGCCTGTTGTAACTCAACAGTCAAGCTAACTTGGCAATCCATTGGAAGCAGTTTCATTTTGGCTGATCAGTGTATGTGTGAGCATTACAGCTGTGCAAAAGGAACAAAACAACAATACTTTCAGTGCTTGAGACTATGAGGCTACCCCACCAGACGTACAAAGATAATACCTGCAAAAAAAGGGACTTTTTCACCCTGCTAAACAAGCCGTGAAATCTGTTTGAATAGACTAGACTGGACGTTATGAGATACTTCTTCATAGGGACACCTCTCATCTGAATGCAAGTGCTAAGGTTAGGAAATGAGAGGTAAATTAGGACTCACATTTAGTGGCAAAGTCCAAGAGCCTCCTACAGGCTTCAAAATAAACATAATTTCTACCTGAATAACTTTAAATGCAAGCAAAATGTGAGCATATTTGTGTATAGAAGAGTAGGGAGATTCAGTTGCCATTAACTTGCCAAGCAATGGGACAAACTCTCCAAAAGAAATGCTGTCTATTGTAATACTAAAAATGTGTGGTTTTCCTTTCATACCTTATGAGCACCAATAAGATGTGTTTGTGTAATCTGTTTAGCACATATGAGAACCTGAGCGTTATACACCATCTGGGATCTGACTAAATGCTTAGTCATATCAGTCTGAAAGAGAAGTAGGGGAGCAATAGCAAAGAATAAATCCTATTACATCATCCTAGTGAGCAAAACATGTCTGAAGGAATCAATATTACTATGACAGGCCCCATAAGGCTTTCATTCTCCGGTCTCAGCTCTAAATGTGTAACGGAGCTAAGCAGGAGAGATCTAAAATTGTAATTATCCCCCACAGTTTGATTTGTTTCTACATTAACCTGGCTGATGGGGTGGCACTTAGCTTCAACAGAAACTGGATTTGTGGGTTCCTGAGAAGGTGATAGAAAGGCAGCAAACTGGAGCAAGTCAGCTCTTTGTCCTTTACTAACCCCCAAGAAACGTGTCCATCCTTTATTCACATTTAGGGAATGGTAATTTATTCCTGCGTAAGTATCTTCTCCCTAAAGCAGCTGGTGCAAAAAGCAACAGCAAGGCTTTTCTATACTGTATATTTTAGAGATAATGTATGAGTATTACACCTCTGCCAAGATTTAAAAAAAAAAAAAAAAAAAAAGCTATATCCTCTCAGAAATGAGTACAGTGGTTCTGTCAACTCACCAGGAACAGGAGCAGTGTGGTTTGAAGAAGGCTCCTGGGGTTTTGGAGGAGGCAGGGGGCCATTCCTCTCCTCCTGCACCGGACTACCCTGCAGACAACAACTACATGTAAGTAATCACAGTTAATGAAGAACAAAAGCAGTGGTTCAAAGTTTTGGACAGTAAAATTATTTCAAGATGAGACAACAACGGTTTTAATTGAAATTCTACTGAGGCAGGGTGCTACAGAGTTGATAGAAAAAAACGACAGTGAAACTTATTTATCAGCTTAGACTGGCACGAGAAACGACAAAAAGGTTAAAAAATACTACACAGCAACAAATGAGAAGCCCACCTTTTCTCCATCCTCTTCTTCCTCCTCGTCTACGAAGGCGAAGGACTCCCAGCTGTGTTTGAGAGACAGGTTCTGCTCCTGTAGGCTGCGACCCTGAACTCACGTCCAAGAAAAACACATTAATACAAAGTAGTGTTGTCACCCCGGCACGACTAAATGGACTTCAAATTCTAAACTCTGATGCCGTTTTAACACCTGCGCTTTATTTTTAGTGGTGTTACCTTGCTCATCTTGAATTATCGAATCTAAGAGGGAGATGCTTCTCCTTCTGGGCTGTCGAGGTGAAATTACAGAATGAGGCTGTTTAATTGTTCGTTGTGAAGCTCATTGTGAAAAACAGCCAGACTGCAGCAGCTGCTTTGTCGATTAAAGTATTTATAGTTCTATTTTAGACTCTTCCAGTCTGTTTTTGTCCTCCTGTATACACGAGTATTTCAGGTTGCAGATCACATTTGACTTGACTTAATTGTACTATCTGGTCTTTCACCAGATGACAGAGGTCAATCACATTAAATTTTTAGCAATTACTTATCATTTTGGATTGTCTCAGTGTGGAGACTCCAAGACACTGCTCACTAATTTTATTTTTTCATTTGCTATCCAATGACTTTAATCAATTTTTATGTCAATGCTATGAATGTCTCATTATGCGTGTCGACTTTGAAAAAAACTGCTAAAGTGACACTATTTATCAGGCAGAATGTTTTAAAACAAAAAGAATCATCAGACTGATGACCTGTCGCAATCCTCGTCTGCAATGAAAATAAGCAGCTTAAAATGGTATTATTTAATCAAAATCACTTTACTCTGCATGCCCCATTGAAAAATTTGCTAAAAATTGAGCATTTGTCTGAAACTGATTGTAAATAAAACTAAAAATTCTGCGCTCCTTAACACAACCGTTAAGTGTCAGGTGACGTAGAGACAGACAACCAAGCACACTCACATTCACACCTACGGACAATTTAGAATCACCAATTAACCTCAACATGTTTTGGGACTGTGGGAGGAAGCCGGAGAACCCGGAGAGAACTCACACTGCACAAGGAGAACATGCAAACTCCACGCAGAAAGATCCCAGGTGTCCTCACGGGGACGCGAAGTGGCAACCTTCTCGCTGCGAGGCAACGATGCTAACCACAGAGCCACCTTGCATCCCCAAATGAAAAACGTGAGTGGTAAAATATCTTTGAGTTCTCTCTCCCTCTAGTCATGGTAAATCAATCTATCCATCTATCCTGTTTGTCACAACATTAAAACTAAACTGTCATAACATGTCAAGTCATACATTTTTTAGAATGCATTACTGGTCATTTTATTGTTTCTACACATATAAATATCATTCCTAATAATTAAAAAGCAAGTACACATAACCCTAATGCAATTCTTTCTTCCCCCCCTTTTTTTTTGAACAGTGTAGTGCTTTCCCCCTACCTTTTAGCCTCACTACAACCACTGGATTTGTTGGGTTTTTCTTTATAATATACATCATAAAATATACATAAATAAATATGTAAATACTACATGAATAAAACTGAACTGACTTGAATATAGGAACATTTTTCACGCATTTTTCTGTCTGGCATCATGGTCTCTCACTCTCCATGGTTACACAGGCAAAAACAGCTGCAGCTAAGAGGTACTCAAGCAGCCTAATTCACTGACACAATCACAGTCTAAATTAAACTTAACCTGTTTCGCAATTTAGGTCAAATATTAAGGCAGTTACTACATTAAAAATTCTGTTTGCACACTTCTCTTCTACTTGTCAATTTTATGAAGCAAAGTGCTCCACAAATCTGACGCATTCTGCTGGGTTCCAGTGAATATTTTAGACTCTTGTATGTTAGAGTATAATTAGCTTTGCATCAGGAATATTGTTTATACTGCAAGAATATTTGCATACAGAAATTATCCACAATGTGAATGCTCCACATATCGCAATGCCACAATTACATTAACACCTACTTTGTTCTGTTATCTTACACAAGGAAGTAAAAGGTCAGTCATTGCAATTCAGCTTGAAGTAAAGCTGTAAAAAAAACGCCATGCTATTCTGTTAAAACATTAAAAAAAATTTGACTTTGTAAACAATGGGATGAACTTTCCTACGTGTTAAACAGCACTTGAGTATTTTTACATTGACAGATATTCAAGAATTTCCTGACTTTTCTTAGTTTGCTAAAAAGTAAATAAATAAATAAATAAATGAATAAAAAACTAACTGTAGTGTCACAAACAGTGAAGGATCAACCGAGCAGCTGATCAAACTGCAAATGAAACATGCGTCCAAATTCACTTTGTTTTACAGGTGATGTGCCCAAGCAACATTTGCTGTCACAACAGTGTCTCTCATTGCTCATTTTTGTACTCCATTATCTCCAGTCCTCGTGAAACAAAACACTACCAGCCACTGTGGCTGAAACCATTACTTTATCTTTTATTCTGGCTCAGTACGTCTCTCCATAACGTTGGAACATGCCTCACGTGTAAAATCTATTTAGCTGTTACCGTGTTCATAGGATGAAGCAGTCTATAGCTGATTATTTAAACAAACTGAGTAGAAAGAGGAGGCTGGTAGAGACTGAGAGGAGCAAATGATGAGACTGCAGGTGCAGGCAAAGACATACTGACTGAGCCAGTTAAGAAGGAAAAGTAATACGTCTAGTCACTATAGTGGACACTGATCATAGTAAAAAGCCCATGCAGACAAAATCACCTGATTCCAAGTAAATCTAATGTCAAAAAGCCTTTTTTCAGTCACTTTGGGTCACACTTGTCTGAGCTGCTGTGCTGCAGTAACTAAGTGGAGACTAGAGGCTTCCCTGTGCGCAGCCGCCGACCATAGTCTGCATGTGAGGCATTTAGGGGACATATGTAAATTGTGCTATCGACTGATGAGCAGATGTTCTGCAAATGCAGAGTTTAGCCTGTGCACAGTTTATGGCAGTGATATAAGACAATGTCGGTAATTTAGTTCTATGAGGCTAGTCATAGAACTAATTTTCTGATTTAAATATTCTGCAGATGTCAAATCCTGAGTCGCAGTCAATCTTCAGTGCATTAAAGGAAAGACAACTGTCAGCAAACGAGGTTAATTAAGACCATAAAATACCTCAAATGTGGGCGTGTGTTGGTGTGACTGAAAGAACTGGGAGCACCAGTGTTACCTATGGAAAAGTTAGTCTGGAGACCTGGTCTGTAAGGGTTTGACCCTCAGGCCTTAGGGTGGAGATTAGGATTAGGCCGACTGTGCTTTCCTACTGTCCTCACCTGCGTCAGCAGCCTTCTCTCTGGCGACAGCCACCAATCACAGAGTGCCAGAAGCTCCAACCTGTCAACGCTGCCCAGTAGGATCATGGAATCTGGAAGCAGGAGGAAATGTTTCTGAGGCGACCACACAGAGTAGCTTTTTCAATGAGTTTACTGATACTTTGACAGAAATATTCTTCAAATATAGTAAATATGTCAAGTCTTCTCTCTTAGATAATATTTTGTTCTGTGTCGGTTCTTTTCCTTTTTTTCATTCCGTTCAGTTTAATGGCACCTGCTCAGATTGAATTTATAAATAACTACCTTTTGAGTCGACCAGGGGGATTGATTTGAGTGAGGAAGAGTCCAGCAGGAGTTTGACCTCTCGATATGTGGACTCGGAGGATATGAAGTTCACCTTTCTCACCATGATGTCTTCCACAAATATGTTGTATTGACTGTGGAGGAGATACACAGACATGGCAACGGACTGAAACGGCTTTTAAACACTTGATTACTAATGAACACAAACTCTCACAAAGCACCACACTGTTAATTCAGTGTTTGAATTAACATTCATCATTAACTGCATGCACAAATTACATGTTTCAGCTGCACAGCACCACTGCAGATTGAAGGTCACTTATAGCTGGAAGGTTATTTGCTTTTAATTTTTGTCCCTATTGTTCTTGCATATTATTTTGACAAGGATAATAATTTGATAGGTTTTAGATTTTTTAACTCTTTGAACCCCAAACCTTACAAGCAAGTTTAAAAGGCATGCCATCTTCAGAAAAAAAACAAAAAAAAACACACTAAACACACAAATTTACATCATTTTTCAGCCAGAAAATGAAAAACTGAAAAAATCGTCACCTTTCAACTTTCTGACGGTCCTTGACTGTATTAAGCGTAATGTGCCATTCAGTAGAGAAACTTAACCAAATCAAAGCTTAAAATTGTGATATTTCATCAAAATCACTAGATTCTACATTTCTCATTTAAAAAATTCTCCCAAAATAAATCGTTTGCTTTGAACAGATTTTGTAGTCACATGACAAAAATTCTGACTTTTTTGCTGAACTGCAGGCAGTATTTACGTAATGCAGATAGAAGACAAGTATGGAAACAAAATTAAACATGTTAGTTAAATATCTTTCATCTGTGGAGCTGCCTTTTCCCCACAGCATTGGTAACACATTTGGACACTTGGAAAAATGTTCCACAAATTTAGTCTGCATTTTTTTAAATTTTTGTAAAATAAATAATCAAAGAAATTCAGCTTTCCTTTTTCCTTTTTTCATGATTTATGGCATTCTGACTGTCATACTGCAGAGAAGACACTTTTAGTTCTCTCTACTTCTAGCCATGTTTGTGCTGTTTCCATAGAGGTGCAGGACTTTACATTACAGTAAATAATGAGCCCAAAGTGAAGAAAATGTGTCATGAGCATAAAAAAAAAAAAAAAAGCAAAATAGCATTTTGTCCGTCTTCTTCTGTCTTACTGGTTAATATAGTATTCACTGCAATTAATTGATTAAAAAGTTGTTGAGATGCAAAGGTAGTATAAGAAAGCTGTCTCCTAAAAATAAAGCTAACAAGCAGGGAAGGACCTTGTTTCCCCACATCTGGTGCACGCAATTAACACAAACCTAATGTGTCCGAAGCCGAGCTCCGGCAGGTACGGGAGCTTCTTGACCTGGATGATGGAGTCGTACAGGGAGGGTTGCAGGCCCTGGGCCACCATGTTGGCCAGGATTACTGCCACCATCATGGGCAGGATGTGGGAGATCTGGCCTGTCAGCTCGAAGCAGATAACCGCTGTGGACACGGTGTGAGTCACAGCCCCGGTTAATGCTGCCGCTCCTGTCAGAGAAATGGGATGGGATGATGAGGGGGAGGAAGGATGGATGGTGAGAAGGGAGGAGGAACAGCAAGGAAAAAGCAGATTGAGGAGTAAATGGAAAGTGGAGGAGGATGCGGACAGAAGTTAGTAGGAGGAAGGGGAAAGGAGTTGGAAAGCAGGACGAAGGGAATGAAGAAGGTCGCAAAGAGGAAAGAGGCAAGGATAGATTCTAATGACAAAGTGAAGACAAGGATGAAAAGCGTAAGAAGAAAAGCAGGAGACCAAAATCATAACTTAAGAAATAAAAAAAAGGACTCAATAGAAATAAGATCAAAGAGAAAAAGAATAGTAGGATTAAATTAAATGAATGAGGCAAGGGAGGGAAAGAAAGGATTGTTGAAAAAAAAAGAAAAGGAGTGAGAAGAAGAGAAAAGTCCCATGAAAGTCTTGACACAGAAACTGATTAATGAGTAGATATGTGAGGGGTTGTAGGAAGCACACAACATAAAAACACTGGTAGAGAGATAGAGAGGGAAGGATAAAAAAAGAGAAAGGACAGTGGGATCAAGGGGGGAAAAAAAAGAGGAGGAATGGGCTTTGTAGGGCAACAGGAGGGGGATTGAGGGAAGGCCACGTTTCTGGGTCAGTGGCTGAGGGTGAGGACAGCAGAGCAAACCCACGGTGACATTTAACTGTCAGAGCAAAGCGACCACATTCTCTGATGGAGAGGAGGAAGAGGAGTAGGAAGGAGAGGATGACAAAAGGAGGGGGGGGGGAGGAGGTGAGGAAGATTAGGTGGGGAGGACAACTTGACAACGAGTGATGACTGGAGGGCCGGAGAGGTTGACAGGAGGAGGAGAAGTTGGAGGGGAAAGAAGATGAGAGAAGTGACAGGAGAGAAAGGAAGAGGACACTTGACCACTCCTGACAAGCTGAGGGTGCAGGAAGTTGACAGGTAACGGGGGGAGGAAAAAGGAAGATAGGGAGGAAGACGAGGGGTGAGAGGGGTGAGAGGGGTGAGGTGGACAGCTCGACAGTATATGACCTGGGTAATATGCAAAACTGATGGCTGATAATCTGTAATGATCTTATTCTATATTTTGAAACCACGTGCCTTGATTACATAATGTACAGTTGAGTCCTGAGGCTCTCAGATTCAGTTACTCATAATCAGAGGATGGACTAAGGTGAAGTAAAGCTGTAAAAACACTGACAAAACTTGATAAAACAAGAGAAAGGGATGGTGGCTAAGAGGAGGAACAGGTGACTAACCAATGACTGCGTACCCTCCGGGGATGATGCGGTAGAGGATGCCATCGAACACGATCCCGTGAGGAAACAGGGTGGCCATGATCTCCCCAACCAGCCTGCCGAAAGCAGCACCTGGAGGAGAGAAAAGGTAAAAGTGAATATATTTTTAAAGGAAGAGCTTAATAATTAGGTTGGATCTAGCGACCCTAATTGCACCCTAATGCTAAAACGCTGTGCTTGTTCCCTCCGTGCTGCTAAAACAGCCCCGAGCTGTCAAGGCGTGGATTCCACAGACCTCTAAAGGTGTCCCGCCATATCAGTCAATAAGATGTTAGCAGCAAATCCCTTAAGTCCTAGACGTTGCAAGGTGGGTGTCAATGGATAGTTGTTTTTCCAGCACATCCAACAGATGTCCGACTCGGCAATTTTAAGTCCAAGTCTACGCCCTAAACTCTTGGTCATGTTCCTCTAGCTACTCCCTAACAATATCTGCAGTGTGGCAGGGAGCTGCTGAAACTCAAGTCACGAAGGGGTGTATGTGGTCTGAAATATTGTTTAGGCAGGTGCTACATGTCAAAGCTACATCCACGAGAATGCAGGATCCAAGGTTTCCCAGCAGAACATCGTCATTTTTCTACAGCACATCCTGCTGCCATCTCTTTACCTGGTAAATGACACGCATGCAGTCGTCCACATGACGGAAAAGAAAGCGTGATTCATCAGGCCAGGCCACCTTCTCCTTCAAGGTTTTGAAGCAATTTGTGCTGCAGTAGCTCTTGTGGGATCGGACCACATGGGTCAACCTTCACTCCCTTGAGCATTAATGATGCTTGGGCATCCATGACCCTGTGTCTGGTTCACCGGTTGTCCTTCCTTGGACCACTTTTATTATGAACCACTATATACCAGGAACAATCAACAACACCTGCTTGTCTCAATAAATATATATATATATATGTGTGTGTGTGTGTATTTCTTTTTCTGTATATCCCACCCACTGACAGGTGCCACTGTAAAGAGATAATCAAAGTGGATAATGGAGTGGGGACTGTATGTTAACGAGGGGTTTATTACTTTTTCATGTCTACATAGTACGGCCCGTAATTACAGTCAGCCCCACACCTGAGCAAGTCAATGTTTTTATGCTGTGAAATATTGAAATGAGTTAAATGAGGGGGTGACTGTGTAGGTGTGGCGCTGTCTGTAGTAATGGTATCAATGGAAACTTATTTTAGTTTCTTCCTAACTCACTGCTTTTGGCTTCATAGATCTCCTTCTGTAAATTGAAAATTCTCGGTTGATGTTAAAGGTGTGTTTTGTTTCTGAATTGTGTCTAAGTTTAACTGGTTTTAAACTTTCATGTGGGAGCGCTCGTGAACAAGTAGCCCACTGGGGATATTCCACAATGTTTTTGCGCATGGATCCATATGGCAGAAAGTCATGCTGATATTTCAGAAGCTTGTTGGGAGCTTGGCACTCTTCTGGAACCACCACTGCCACCACCATACGTTTCTCAATTGATGGTACTTCTTTTAGGCTTTCAGGTGACCTTGAGTTTCTTCTGTTGGACAAGTCCTGAGCTGGAAACCATCAACAGTTATGTGATAGCTACTCAAACTAGCTAGGGTTAAGAATGATAGTGTGTTTGGTTGTTTTTGTCATATGAACACACACTTCAGCTCTCAGAAACACACTTGATAAAACAGATTATAAGGTGCAGGTCACTGGTACAGATAATCTATTGTAAAAACTATTCCCCATTCTAAAATACGGTATTTTACTTTTAATATGTTACATTGTTTTTTTTTCCTCCACCACAATCTGGTGACCCCTGGAAATGATCTTGCAACCCCCTTGGAGGTCAGTACGAGAATAGGAAGCTCTGGAGCTAAATGTATTCATTTGAAGATATTTGCGACTGGGAACAATGAATATTTTAAAGTTAAGAACTATTAAAGGTCAGACTACAAACGTCTGACAAAACAAAAACAAGAGATGAACTGCAAACTGCTAAAGAAACACTGGTTCCTTGAATGTTAAGCTGAATAATAAGAAATGATCTGCAAAATGAAAGTTAGTGAAACAAGAAGGTTGGGGAAAGAAATTAGTCTGTAGAGATACAACTGACTGAACAAAGAAAACAGCATTTTCTAGTTTAGGGTTAAAAATATTCAAAACACTTTTGACAACACGTAAAAATGAGTCACCAATGTTTTTCTAAACAAGGACAAACCAGTTAATAATAATCTGCTACACCAGAATAATCAGAAGTACAATTTTAGCCATTCTCAGGCAGCTATAACCACAGTATCTTACGACTGAAGGTCTTTTTGCTCACCGAGTATGAAGACAGGCATGAAGGCCCCGGATGGAATGGGCATGGTGGTGGCCACTGCAGACATCCAGAACTGAAGGGAAAAAAAACAAAACATGTACAACAAAACATGTACCAGTGTTTAGTCAAGAGAACTCCAAGCTGCTGACTGAAACCAATAAAAAATAAATAGCATTTGAGCTTAAAGTTGTGCAATGAATTGTTATTTGACCGACAGGGCTCTTCTGGTCAAAAATGACATAAACAAGTACAAAAAAGAACAAAACTAAGAATACCTAATATCTCTAAAAAAAAAAAAAAAAAAAAATTTCTGTTTTGTTCATTTCTACTAAAAAATGCAATGTCCAAAACTATTTTTACCATTTCTTAGCAATCAGTGGCAAAGTCCTACTTGCCAGGCAGCAATCAAACGCTTGTTATAATTGCTAGCAGTCTTTCTGCATGACTCCACTGGGATTTTGTTCCACTCGTCTTTCGTGAAGATCTCCAGGTTTTGTGTTGTTTTTTTAAAAAGTTGGAACCCTCCTTTGCCATCACTCTGGTCTTCAGTTTCCTCTACAGATTCTTGATGGGATTCAGGTCTGGATTCCTAAATGTTTATGTTGTTTTCTGCCAACTACTTCTTCAACCACTTTGGCTGTATATTTCATGAGGTTGTTCAAAGATCCAATGGTGCTCAAGGTCAAGTATTTCGGCAGATATGCTGATGCTTCCCCGCACAGACTCAAAGTAGCTTCTTTTCTCATGATGCTGTTTACTTTGACAAGGTTGCCTGGCTCATTGACTGAAAAACACTCCTTGAGGATGGTGTTTTTGGGACTGAATGTTTCTCCTCTCCTTTGTCCTGATCTCCTAATAACTCCATTTTAACCTCATCCAACCACAGAACTGATGATTAAAAGCGTTCCTCTTTGTCCAGGCGAGCTTTGTGTGTTTGGCATCCATGGAGACCAGCCTTGTTCAGTGCATAGTGGAGTGCCTGATTGAGATGTTGCTATCAAAACTGGTCGAATTCATCAGGATGGTCTTGGTGGGGATACTTGGATTCTACTCAGCCTCTATCATTCTTGTCAGTGCAGGTTCATATCACACTCTTTAAGATTGAGCTTTTTGTCCTTTTTGACTTTTGCTTTTCACTGTGGCCACTGTTAACTAAAAAAACACACGTGACTTTATAACCTTTCTCCATCTTGTGAGCAGCCATAATGTGCAGCTCTCTCTCAGTAATGGATCCCAAGAGCGAGCTCAATAAGCTCTCTGGTTTTAGCCTTGACTTGCAATTGACCAGAAATACTGCAGCTGTTCTCAGTTTAAGATGCTTTTTTTTTTTTTTTACTGCTTTACAGCTTAGTAGAAATTAGCTTGCTCCATTGTAATGGTACAGAAGCTTTTTTAAAAAAAAATTCTTTAGATTGCAACAGTTTCAAGAAAGAAAAAAAAGCATAGTTAGAATTCATCATTAACAAGTTAAACAGTGTTTTATCATATTTTGTCACTTGTTTGTATTGTTTGTTTGCTTGTATGTCCAAAAACATGTTGAGGTGAGGTGAGGTGATTCTAAATTGTCCGTAGGTGTGAATGTGAGTGTGCTTGGTTGTCTGTCTCTCAGTGTGGCCCTGTGATGGACTGGCGACCTGTCCAGAGTGTCCCCTGCCTTCGCCCTAAGTCGGCCGGGATAGGCTCCAGCTCTTTTTATGTGTACTTTTATACTTGTTTGCACTATTCCTTATATTTCTATGTACATTTTTCTGTCTAGTATGTGTGTATCTCCATGTGTAATGCTGCTAACAACAATGTGAATTTCTCCACTGTGAGATAAATAAAGGCATATCTTGTTTCTGTCATTTCCAACCAGGAGAAATCTAATGGTCAAATAAAATGATCTACAAATCAAAATTTGGCATGGCTTTGAATATTTTTTCTGATTATTTTTACTTTAGGAATACTCTGGCATATGGTTGCATTCATTCAATGCAAGTCTCTTTAATTCTCAACTGCTGTGTTCCGATGGTAGAAATTTGCGTCAGTGTTTAATCAGGTGAAAGTTGAACAAGTCAGTAAAAATGTTACACAGTCAAGAACACAACAAGACTCAAGCCTATCTTCTCTTTAATTATCAAACAGGTCGACACCTATTTTACTCTATTCTCTTTTAATTTTTATAATGACTCCTTTGTTGCTGCAGGTTACCCACCTAATACTAATTAGATTGCTATCAAGATGTTGTGTCGCATAGCAACCGGAATGATGTAAGAGCCCTGCGCCCTTTTGAGTCCTCACTGTCTCAATGTTTGGATTGCAGTAGAAGAAACAGCATGTCCAATTTGGCCACGGCTTGGCGAGCTCCAGAAAGGGAAATCTGGAAAATGTGTGGTTGTGTGTGTGGCAGGGGGAGGGGGACCCAATCACCCTTGGGTGTCCTTGAGCAAGGCACTTAATCAACAGCTGCTTTGGTGAAGCTGCAGAGGATGTCGCTGCACCGGGCATTGACAGCTGAATGTGTGACTGCATGAGTGGGTGAAAACATCAAATGTGCAAACTCCTCTGCAGGGTAAACTAAAGCTCAACTCAAATGCCACTCACACTGTTTGTGTCCAAACAATGTCTGCATTCATCAGAACGGAACTTCAAAATAGCTCGTCTAATAATACGCACTGCACTTGGTCACGGAGAGCTCATCAGCGATAATGACTACCTTTAGACAAGCTCAGGATTTTTCTGTGTGTGCGTGGGTGTAAGTGTGTGTTCCACCAGCATCCCTGCACAAGCGCCACACGCTGGGCTTTCTCATTCTGATGTGGAAGGACTGGCAAGAGACGCTACATTACCATTTTACCAGTCTACATTACGATTCTACACATCATTTTTCATCATCGTTTGAGAACTTAATTACTGTGGAACAAGATAAAAACTCATTAGCACGTCTCTCACAGGGTGGCTGCCATCCTGATGACAGAGAGGACTGCGTTCAGTCTTCTTCTCTTTTAATCCTGACAGTCATACACAATCAGGCAACTAAAAAAAAAAAAAAAAAACTGTCTCACACATATAAACACAGTGACATTCAGAACATACTCTTATCAGGGTCACAAATGCTGAGACAGATGGGAGTAGCAACACTGAGACAGAGTTAGCTCCGCACTGGGAGATAAAGTGAAAATAAAGAGAAGAAGTCCACATGCCTGTTTATGTATGATAAAGAGAGAAGGATGGAAGTAAGAACCATTACAGTCCAAGTCTGACATAAACACCTAGATGTTAAATTATGGCAGGAAATTATATTGAAGAAAGCTGAACAGGCAAAACTGCTCATCAAACAACTCTGAGTGGGCTTTGTTCAGCTCGCATGTTACCTTAGAGACATTTACATCCTTTAAATTAAATTAAATTTTGGCTGTTTTTACAGTCTATTTTTTTAGTTAGGAATTTTTTACATTTCAAAAAGGTTAAACTCAGGACCTTAGTAACGAAAAATCCCCTATTGAAACTCATTAAAAATGCTATTTCCCAGTGCATTACAGCATAAAAATTATACTTTGATGGACTCTTTTTCAACAAGGATGTGTTTGTTCTCTTAAGTTTCGAGATATTTTTGAAACCCTGCACTCTCACTGCATTCAAAATAACAACAGATCAGAATCACTGTTGCTGCAAATGACTGACACATTCCAGACTGTGAGAATCAAAAAAAAAAAAAGAAATCCTCTTAGCATTGAGTATATGGAAAATCATTTATTTATTGTGTAAAAACAAAAAGAATCCTTTGATTTTCAACTTTCTGACAATTCTTGAACTACTTATGTGTGATGCGTCATTCTGTAAGGAAATGTAACCAAACTAAGCTCATTTAAAAAATGCCAAATATAAAACCCTTGGCTCTAAATGGATTCTGTAAAAAACTAAAAGTTTTGCGCTCCTCGGTACAACTGCAAAGCAATTGTGGACTCAGCTGGAGCCAACAGTCACATGACAAAAATGCAAGGGCTTTTCACTGCAGGCTGTGTTCACATAGAAAACAGACAAGTATGGAAGCAAATTAAAAATGTAAGTAGTAAAATATCTATAGTATGTAGAGTCCCCCCTTTTTTTTTTCTCCCAGTATTGGGAAACATGTGGGCACGTGGGTGGAAAAATATTGGACATATATTGGTTCTAGGTGTTCATGAAACAAACCAACAAAGAAAAACAACTTTTGGCTTTTGTTTTAGTATGTATTAAGGCATCAAAACTCACATTGCACAGGAGACATGTTGAGTTCAGTCAAAAATAAGGCCATTGTGAGTACTAATGTCACAGGAGCCAAAAAAGAAAAAGAAAAAAGGACAATACTACTACTACTACTACTACTACTACTACTACTACTACTATTGCTAATAATAATAATAATAATAACAACAATAATAAAGCAATAAATAAAATAAAAATTTAGAAAAGACATTCAGTTTACTATCAGACATGAACATGAAAAAACATTGTAGCGATTATCCTGGTCAGGTTCAGAAACAATGTTTATATTGACAAATTTTTTGCTGCGCCGCCATCGTTGAAGTGTCTTAATATTCAACCTAACTTCTACTTCTGGGAAAATTTAAATTCCCAAGTCTTTTTAGATAGACAAAGAGAGAAAGTCTAATCAGGTATATGGCAAAGGTGCACAGAGGAAACAGAAGAAAAGGGAGGCATAAATACTTTTGAGAGAGGTGGGTCCAGAGAGTGTGTTTGAGTGTGTACTGGAGAGGCTGCCAGCAGCAGAAGGCGACTGGAAAGCAGAAAAATGCAGAGTGAGAGAGAGTGTGTGTTGTGAGATGAGTATTTGCAGCCAGCTGCTCTCAGTTTTGGCTGAATTAAGTTTTCACTACAGGGAGCCGCTCTGCTCAACTGAGCAGCACCATGACTAAACCAATGCAGTGTGTGATGCTGACTGACAGGTTTTAATATCCTGTTGACGGGATTATCTGTGTGGCATTTCTGCCTAATTTGACTCTAGACAGCGCAAAAAACAGACCGAGGTTAACGCTAAAAAGGCAAATTGATTTTTGAGATTTCAAGTGGGATATGATAAGAATTACAATC